ATATTTTGAAGGATAATTGTAAAAAATGCAATTGATTTATTTTAATAAAGAAAATATATAAAATTTATATCCAAATTTTTATCGTTATCCAAATAAATTTTTTCAATTTGATATCCAAATTTTTTCCGGTCCTTGATCGCCAGTAAAATTAAGCTCATGTGATGATTTATATTAGGAAAAATTTATCAGAGCGCAAAAGGCGATTTCTTTTACAAATTTTTGAGAAGCGAGCAATTTTTTTCAAAATAAACATTTTTTTTTTGTTTCATCAAACACCAATCTTTGATTAACTATTGATCAATCATCACGTGGCAGTGAAATTTTGTTGGCGATTCTGAAATATAACCCGATTCTGGAACCGAAAATCTTGTGAATATCAATATGGTAAAATTAGATCCTAATATAAGTAACCATTCACTACTTTTCTTTTGCGACGTTTTGGTTGCCTTTATTCGGTGTTAATAGTCTGATAGAGATTTTTACAATGGTGCCAATTAGGGAAGAAGAAAGATATTTTCATGGCTAGCAAACGACGATAATATAAATATTTGGTAACCTGTTGTACCACATAAGTAAATGAAGGTTAAGGATCCCATATCTGCACCCAAAACTCGATATTTATTTCCCAATGCTGTTTTACCCATTTAAGAAAATCATAAAAAAGGGTTAAATATGGAAAAGATATGGGATATGTAATTAGTTTTACAATGATATGATTGATAACGTCGGAATTACATCATAGACTACCAACGCATTATATAAATATCAACCTCACAATGCTAACTTCGGGACGAAAGAACAAGTTTAGTTTTAGGGTATTTTGATTTCATTTTCACGCACCGCGCAAACCGTCTCTTTAAGTTGGCATAACAAATTGAAACCTCCCGTTTTTTCAACAAACAGCATTCAAATAAGAGAGCAACTAGATTAAAACTTTCCCACGATAGTTGGCTCAGCATCCCCATGATTGAACATTTCAAGAATTTCATTCGCCATGGCAAACAGGCTAATAAAAACGGTGGTGCCTTCGATGAAAATAAGGCAGTAAACAATCAAAATTATACAGATGAAAAAGTCGACAATTATACAGCAGTAGCACGAATAGTAGCCGAGGAACGAGAACAAAGAAACAAATTGCCAAATTACCCGGGTCTGGAGAGATACTGTTTATTGGAAAAAATGGGAGAGTATGTTGAAAATCTTAATATTATTCCGCAAAATGTTAAGAATTTTTAAAAGAAAATTGGCGGTTATTTAATCATTTGTCAATACCTTATGATTGTGTGTTGACAATTGCAATAGCATTTTGTTTTCTTAAGAGACGTTCGCTTTCAGGATTACAACCGTACTTTCTTTAACACGGTCCTTGTGTTAACTATTTTTATAGCGGTGCGTTTAGCAACGTCTACAAGGCAATTAACGTAGTAACGAAGGAGAAGGTTGCTATTAAAGTTGTAAGAAAGCGTGAGCTATACAGCACACAGGTAGGAAATAAATTGCTATTATGATGGCAAAGGAATCGGAATCGCGAGCAATATTTATACGACTCAACGTGCATAAGTCGAACGCTTGCACAAGATTCTATTATGAAAAATCTTTTAATAACAACCATCTACCAAATTCGGCATCGTTTTCAGGAGAGACATCTTCATCGTGATGTGAAAGTAAAACCTCGTGCAACTGAGGTACTTAATCGTTCCGGAAATGTCATATATATTTATATTGTTAAGAAACAACTTTGAAGATAAATGCAATGCAGTTGGTTCTCAGGGTGCTTTGAGGGTTGACGTTTGTAAAATTGCATTCTTCATTAACTGCGTTAGCTGTCAAGAGAATGAAACGTCAATTTTAAACCTTTGACCCCCCGTTAAACCTTTGACCCCCCATTGCCTTTGCCAATCAAAGAATCTGTTTAAAAGTACCCATTATTAATAAATTTCCTTTATTTTAGCGTTCCAACATTCTCAAAGAAGTCAGAATAATGCGCCAGCTGAAGCATAATTCAATCGTAGCCTTAAAATCATTTTCGGAATCTGAGGATTATTATTATTTAGTTCTCGAATTGATGGAAGGTGGTGAATTATTCCATCAAATTGTGAGACTTACCTATTTTTCGGAGGAATTAACACGACATGTTATCGTTCAAGTGGCTGAAGGAATAAGATACTTGCATGAAGAAGTAGGTGTTGTTCACAGGTAGATATTCATATAATACCATCGTGTATTTAAAAAAAAAAAAATTTAAGGTCATACAAAATTAATTTCTTGGTTACCGAGTCAGTTTTTATGTTATACATTTTAATAATTGGGTGATATCTTTGAAAAAAAAAAAAGTTTATAAATTTTTATATATAAATTTTGAAAATTCACTGGGCGATTAGGGTCTGTTCTGAAGTTGTGTTATGAAAACCAAGAAATTAAATTTGTGCGGCTTTATGTTATTTTTATTTTTATTTTATTTTATTTTATTTTCCCTTTTGGTATTATAGAGACATAAAACCTGAAAATCTTCTTTTTGAACCAATTCCTTTCTGTCCTTCAAAAGAACCAAAACCTTCCCTATTTGATGAACCAAAAGAAGACGAGGGGGATTTTATTCCGGGTGTAGGTGGTGGTGGTATTGGCAGAGTTAAAATCGCTGACTTTGGCCTGTCAAAAGTTGTGTGGGATGAACAAACAATGACACCTTGCGGAACGGTCGGATATACTGCTCCTGAAATTGTCAAAGATGAACGATATAGCAAAAGTGTTGATATGTGGGCACTCGGTTGTGTCTTATACACTTTGCTTTGTGGTTTCCCTCCATTTTATGATGAAAGTATTCGTGATTTGACAGAAAAAGTCGCTAAAGGACAGTATACATTTTTAAGCCCATGGTGGGATAATATTTCTGACTCCTGTAAGTTATAATACTTTGCCAAATCCATGTCTAGCATGCGAATATTTAAATCAATT